ATTAATGAAAGGATCAAATTTTTCAATTTTAAATGTTTTGTGATTTTAAATCGACCAATTAGTTTTATCATGAATTCAACGTGATATTTTGATATAAAGTTGAAGTTAAGTAAAGTTAAAATATTCCTTATTCGGAGATGAAGCAGCATATCACAAAGGCTATAGATAAAATGCATTATTATTTTAACAACTAGAATTATAGGTGATCATTCGTACTTCTAAATTGTAACATGAATGCATTCGGGTTAATTGAGCATATTTTTGCAATACGAATGCGTTTGTATCACAAATATATATTTCACACATTGATGCAAGGTAATACACAAGTTAGTAGAGTAATTGAGTTCAGCTCCGGTTTTTTGAAGAGGTTTCCGTTTTGTGATCTTTTGTTTGTCTGCTTATCTTTATCTATTGAAAAAAGTAAAATAACAAAAATGCTAAACTTCAACGAAATATCAAAACGGAAAGTCACTTCTCAAATGGCAAAATCAAAATCTCAAACATATCAAACGAATGGAAAACAACTGTCATATTCCTGACTTGGTACAGGCATTTCCTTGTGAAGACAATGATGGATTATACCTGGTGTTATAGCTAGATAAACATCTCAATTGTATGACAGTCGCATAAAATTCCATTATATTGATAACAATGTGTGAACAAAACAAACGGACATAATAGGTAAAATGTCACAAATAGGGGTGCAGTAGTAAACATTGTGTTATAATCTTAATTACTATAAAAACATGGTGTTATCGACTTGTGGTTTTTAATTGTTCCTTTCGTATCCTCTTCACAACTTTTAAAAATTTTATAGTTCATAGTATTTTACTATTTTAATATAAAAAAACAATTACTTCGACTATGAAATGTGTAATTAACCAATAGAAATATCTATGTTATAGTGGCTTTATATTTAGATAGTTCTCTTTGGTTGCTATCTCACTGAAACATCTCCTTCTATTGATTCCAACTGAATAAACCTGCGGTACAAGTAATAAATGATTGACCAATCACATCAAGTGATCATTCATTTCTGAATGTTTCAATTAAACTAATGAAACATTTCATATATAGACTGTCCGTGTCTTAAAAATTAATTTCCACGCGTCTTCCGGTGACAATAAATATGATAATTACAACTGCGACCGTAGATTCTCAAGGGAAATATGCTTTGATTGGAATACAATAAGCTCGTTTATAAGGTTGTACATCATATATACAATGAAATCTGATTAAAGTTGATTATTATAGCATTGAAGATTTAAATTGCAATACCTCCTTTCTTGCCAAGTTCGAATATAGATTGAAGTAATTGTAACTACACAAAAAACCGATTGAAAACATACAGAAGTCTACATACGGTCCTCTACAAATGACAGATGTCTATACAATTTGCCCAGCTCTAAAAAGCTCCAAGTTCCAAAGCTGTGACAAAACTTAGCAAAAACATTCAAATATCTGTCATACAATTTCGTTGCATGTATCTAGTAACAGAACACATTGTATATTATCTGTGTAGATTATATAAATGTTGAAATAAAATTCAACGAGCGCATGCTCTTAAACCTTATATGGTTATCTGTTATATAAGACTCTATTATAAAAATAAGAAAATGTGGTATGATTGCCAATGAGACAACTCTCCACAAGAGACCAAATGGCACAGAAATTAACAACTATAGGTCACCGTACGGCCTTCAACAATGAGTAAAACCCATAACGCATAATCAGCTATAAAAGGCCCTGAAATGACAAATGTATAACAATTCAAACAAGAAAACTAACGGTCTGATTTTTGTACAAAATAATGAACGAAAAAAGAATATAATATACAGTCTGTTTGGCTTGTGCCTTGTGAATTTGAGCAAATAAATTATGTTAAAACTAAACACATTATGTATCGTAATTTTATTCTTCTGTCTACAGTAACCATGGTTACTTCGTTTCTTTAAATTACTGACTGAGTAGATGAAAACTCATCAAAGATACCAGGCTTATAATTTGGTACGCCAGACGCGCGATTCGTCTACCTAAGACTTATCAGTAACGCTCGAGTTAAAAGGCCAAATCAAATACGAAGTTGTAGAACTTTTAAACCGACAAATTCAAAACCATAACACTATGAATGTGTTTTACATAGAAAATTGTTGAATTTAAAGTTAACGTCTCTTAAAATTTCCGGCAATAATTACTGAATCGTGAATTACAACTGTAGTTCTAATATTGCCAAATAACAATGCATTTTAAAGAAATTTACTTTAAAGCAATTTTTGATACAACATTACACATCTTTAAACACAATTCTAATCAACTTCATAAAAATTGAACAGAATTGTTTTTTTCATTATTAAACATTAAATATCTATTTATGCTAGCATGATTACTAAATTGAATAAACCGGTTTGTTTTGCGCTGAGTTGTTGGTTAATGAAACAGCTATAATAACAGGGGAAATTAGATTTAGATTCTAGTTCAACAATCCATAAATAAATTGTTTCCGCAATAAAATATTCCCAAAACAAATTTGGAATTCATTTAAAATTCTATGTTTTATATTTTCATTTACAAAAAATAACAGGTTTTACAAAAACAACACTGTTATTTTAGTTATCTACATTAAACGTATAGTTATTGCTAAGATAATCTCCGTTAATATCACATACATTCGATGTTAGGGAAATATAAGTCACTACACAAACAATCGTTGTTAAGAAACGAACACACTTTTTTCAAAGACTCTCCATTACTACACATATAGTTGTTGTTAAAAGAATCTCCATTATTACTACACGTAAAGTCCTTGTTAAGAGAATCTCCTTCACTACACGTATAGTCTTTGTTAGGAGAATATCCTTCTCTACACGTATAGTCGTTGTTAGGAGAATCTCCTTCACCACACGTATAGTAGTTGTTAGGAGAACTTCCGTTTCTACACGTGTAGTCCTAGTCCTGAGAATCAAGTCTAATCATTTTGTATGAGATCTTGCGTTTCTTCAATCACAGTCGTTATTATGAGAATCTGCGTTACTTCACATTTAGAAGTTGTTAGGCAGATTCTGCGGACAATTATTACTAGCATAAAATGTTCATGGTTACAGAATTTACTAGTATATTTAGGCCGATGTCAGTAATTTATGTCCCCAGACTAATTTTCCTAGGAATGCATGTCCTTGTCATTAATATTCCTAGGTAATTACGTCCATGCCCTTTAACTTACTAGGAAAATGTGTAATAAAAGAAATCATTTACATGTTAACAATTGAATTTCTAATTCTCATGTTTTAATGTTGTTTAACAGTTGTATATTAGTCTTTTGGTAAAATTTATGTGCCCAGATTTTCACGTCCAAGTTATTAATATACCTAGGTAAAACGTCCATGTCCTTTATTTTAATAAAAAAATTTGTAATGAAAGAAATCATTTACATGTAAACATTTTAATTTTTAATTCTTATGTTTTAATGTTGTTTAACAGTTGTTTAACAGTTGTGCATTAATCTTTTGATAAAATTTATGTGCACAGATTTTCCTTGGAATTCACGTCCAGTTCATTAATATTCCTAGGTAAAAACGTCCATGTCCATTATTTTAATAAGAACATTTGTAATGAAAGAAATCACTTACATGTAAACAATGGAATTTTTAATTGTTAATTTAAAATAATTGTCTTTTAAATAAAACATAAATCACAGACTTTTATGGTGTACATAATTACAAATATTTCTTTCTTAATTTTAATATTGATTAATTTTAAGAGTGTCTTAAGAAAGGAAATTTTAAAGGGACTTTTTTCATAGAAAAAAATTCATATGAAACTACTGATATATTTTCCTAGGACATATTTTACTAGCTATTGACTTATATTTCTAGGAACAGTTATCCTGGGACTTACATTCCTAGTAAAATTATGGTCATGAACTTGATTACCTAGGAAAAAAAGTCCAGCGGACAAACTTTACTACCGGACCAAATTTACTGTTACAAATAATCGTTGTTAGGAAATTCTCCGTTGTTACAGATATAGAAGAGTTGCAAAAGTATATGATTGCACTGGGTGCCATATGATGCTTGTCAATACAGAAAACGGCAAAAGGCCAAAATAATTCTAATAAAGTATTATTATTTATATTGTTATATGATGTTTTGTTAAAACAGAAAATGATAGTGTACGAGGTTGATTGTCGAGATTATTAAAAAACAAAAAGACAGAAAAACAGATTTAGGTTAGGGGAGAGTTGAGTACTCAAAACATGTTTAACACCGCCACATTCTTTTTGTGCCTGTCCTAAGTCGGGCGCCTGTAGTTCAGTGGTTGTCGTTGGGTCATGTATGTCATTTTGTTTTTCTTAAATTGCTTTGTTATAAATTAGGCCGTCAGTTTTCTCAATTGAATTGTTTCATATTTTTCATGTCGGGGCCTTTTATAGCCGACTAAAATTGTTTCTCATTATTGAAGGCCGTACGGTTGCCTATAATTGCTTACATCCACTTCATTTGAAATTTGGTGGATAGTTGTCTCATTGGCAATCATACCACATCTCCTTATGTTCTTATTAAGAATAAGGAGATATGGAATGCATTGAATTATTGCAAATGCATTATAAAAAACATAAGGAAGATGTAAGAAATTATATGTCAGCGTACGACATATTTAACAATGAGCAAAGCCCATACCGTATAGTCAGCTTTAAAGCACCCCCGGAATGGGAAAATGTGAAATGATTCAAACGTGAAAAATAACGGCCTCATTTTATCAAATAATTTACGAAAATCAAACAATGACACACATGTACCAACGACAACCACTTAATTACAGGCTCCTGACTAGGGACAGGCACAATAACGAATGTAATTGTTGTAAATATTTTCTACATCGTATCATTAAGCAAAAACAAAAGGACACAAGATAAGGACAGTATTTCTAAATATTACAAAAGAATTTGCCTTTTTTTTCTCTCCTAAATCAGATGTTACTCAATATTTGCCTTTATTTTACAGGACAAATTAAGACAAAAACGCTCAAGTCGACTATTGGAGGAATTAAAGAAATGGACATTAACAACAACCCCGATTACACCATTAGACCGGATATCTGGTGTTAATAATCATCGTACTCACGTCCGAGAAACGGAAGAAGAAATTAATTGGACTAAGATAAAGGAGCAACTTCAAAGATTACTTGATTCTGAAAATGGATCATGGGAAGCTAAACTTCTAGATGAGTTGTCACCAGATGATCAAATAGTTCTGGAAGATACAGTGAATCCAAATAGCGCCGAGGAGCTCCGAATGTTTTTAGAATCAAATACAGGGAAAAACGGAGAAGACAAACGTGGACTAGATACGTTAGGCGGAATGAGTTACTTCAAACGGGGTTTAGATACACTTGGAAATATGGGATTTCATAGCTACAAAAAGAAAGGCCTAGATACGCTTGGAAATATGGGGTTTCATGATTTTAAAAAGAGAGGGTTAGATACACTTGGTAACATGGGATTCCATGATTTCAAGAAAAGGAGTTTAGATACACTAGGAGGAATGAGTTTTCATGGATTAAAAAAGAGGGGACTCGACACTTTAGGTGGAATGGGATATCATAATTATAAGAAGCGAGGATTAGATACTCTTGGAAATATGGGTTTCCATGACTTCAAGAAGAGGGGGTTAGATACATTAGGAAATATGGGATTTCATAGTTACAAAAGAGGACTCGACACATTAGGAAATATGGGATTCCATGGATACAAGAGAGGGCTAGACACATTAGGAAATATGGGATTCCATGGTTACAAGAGAGGACTTGATACTTTAGGAAATATGGGATTTCATGGGTACAAGAGAGGACTTGATACTTTAGGAAATATGGGATTCCATGGTTACAAGAGAGGACTTGATACTTTAGGAAATATGGGATTCCATGGTTACAAGAGAGGACTTGATACTTTAGGAAATATGGGATTTCATAATTATAAAAGAGGACTAGACACGCTAGGTAACATGGAATTATATGGTAATAAAAGAGGACTTGACACCGTTGAAAATATGGGATTCCATGACTTAAAGAAAAGGGGATTGGATACATTAGGTAATATGGGATTCCATGGTTACAAAAGAGGTCTTGATACGCTTGGGAATATGGGGTTCCACGATTATAAAAGAGGATTGGATACTCTTGGTAATATGGGGTTTCATGGTTACAAAAGGGGGCTCGATACTCTTGGTAATATGGGATTTCATGATTTTAAAAAACGAGGCCTTGACACCCAAGGCAGCATGGGATTTCCAGAATTAAAACGAGGCATAGACACTTTAGGTGGTATGTCTCTTTATGGGTACAAGAAACGAGACCAAGGAAATGATCTCAATGACAATTTGGCTTTCGCAGATACCGAGGACAGCATGAATAATGACAGAATCAAACGTGAAACAAATGAAGAGAATAAAGATCGGGAGATTAGCAAATCTGTAAAAGAAAATGCGAAGTCGAGATGACGGATAAATAAATTTCAGCATTTGTTTACAGTATTTCAGAGAAATGTTAACAACTGCTGCCTTCAGGAAATAAAGTTTGGTGCAAGTTCATACTAACTGTGATATCGTTGTTCAAACCATATGGTTTTGCTTGGACCGGCCATGGCAAGAGTGCGTGGCATTGCTGGTCTGAATAAAAAATTCAGATCGACTGAAATTGTTTACTTATACATTCCTTTGACTTGAGATAGTATGATTTACGAAAGAAATAGAGAAAAATCAACCGTTAAATTGTTTTGCCAGAAAAAAAAATCAATTTTCTCCAAAAGTCCAAATATCAAGTTTGTCAGACTTTGTTTTTTTTTTTTTTTGGTTTTCTTAGAAAAATAAGTATTTTGCACATAGAAAACTGTTTTTCTTTAAAGAAATACGACATACTTTGGTCCATTCTTTTAATAAAGTCACCTTTACCACACTAATACAAACACATAATATACAATGTCTATTGATGTTTATCCTGTTGTTTTGCAGTTTTTCATGAATACAATTTAAAGTTAAAATGTATAAGACAATATATGAACAATAAAGAAAACTCTTTTAGTAAGTGGTTGAAGTGTCAGATATTATACTATAAAATCTAATTCAAACCCTCTATATTTTCTTGTCGACAGTGTCAATACCAAACACGAAATCCTTCTGTCATTATCCATAAATGCTTCTTTATTGTTGTGTGTATGATCTATCAATATAATTCTATCAACTTTCTTCATTTCCAACTTCCGAGTTTTTCATTTGTTGAGATTGCATTTGTAAATTCTTTCTCACACATATCATGTTCATTTTGTTGTTTTTGTTTTTTTGTTGTTTTTTGTTTTTTTGTTCGTTTGTTCGATTGTTAATTAATATATTCCTTTTATTGATTACTTAATGAGAGCAATAAATAAAAAATCAAAAGTCGAAGGACATACCAGGCCTTTGTAAAAATAACAAATTTAATGTAATACTAGTTACACATGTACAGAATCCAAAGATTGAGAACAATGAATCCACTTACAATCGAATGTGAGCTCAGGTGCTTCGAAAGAGATATAAATTACCATATACAGTATGTGTCAACATAAACATCAAGGTCATATAGGACCTTATATAGATGGTTTGGTTTTGACAGTGATCAAATGATAGTCCCACGAATATAATCATGATTCTACTTTTGCAATTACATCTAAGGTGAAAATAAGAATCATCACTATCGATAACATTGGCAGCTAAAAGAGTTCAAATGCATATTCCCTTAGACTGGAATACTGAGTAACACTCTTGATTACAATCAGATTCAGTCCTGAAATACAGCCCACAAAATACAATCAGAGACGCAAATTAGCAAAGAAATCAACATGAAGACAGACTGACCAGTGTAGTAATCCAGATAGTTCTAAAATCACAAATCATATGAATCAATAATAACATACAAATATAAAACCATGAACACAGACTGACACCTGTAGTACAGTCCAAAAGGCAAACCAACTAAAGACACAAAGATGAATCAATAATTACATACAAAATATACAATCATGGATAGTTCAACTAACAACTACAAACATACAATGTAAACCGGAAAAAACGTCAAACACATACAAAGAAGATATTAAACTATGCAGTGAAAATGACGAATAATTAATTGATATATAAAAAGATATTGGGAAACAGGAACTGTAATTCCACATGATAAGTGAAAAGATTGGACGATTAAATTGCTAACATTCCTTGTTTGCTGGAATGAGAGTTGTTTTCTGAATTATCCATTAGCTGAAAAATTCAAACTTGAAAATTTGGAAAGAAGGCCAAAACAATAATGTTTTTAACAGGAGCTACAAAAAGGGACCAGAAAACAGTGATTAAAATAACTCGAGTTCAATTTAGTGAAAAAGGTTGTTTATCTTCTATTTAAATACCCCGTACAATAAGTCAGAAGAAGGCGTCGGCATAAGGAGTACATGTTAAACATCTTTAATATATTTGACGTAAAAAAAGACAACAACACATTGTCTAGATAGCCTGACATTGTTCAGTTACCAAAATGTTGCCTCTAAATACCACATGTTGTAATAGTAAAAGACACAATAAATATTAATAAAACCTGAATAGTCCTCTTACAAATATGATAACCGTTAACTGGACAAGTGTTTGGGAAATCATAAATTTGAATAATTCATTTTTGTATGTACTTAACATAGCACATTAGCATAGATCACAAATTTGACAAAGGTAGATTTATTGATTGTTGGTTGTTTGATAAAGGAAGAGGAAGTATCAAAACACCTTTGAATAAATAGAACCCTTGTTCATTTCATGGCGTTTCGTTTGAAAAAAAAATCGTTTTCATTTTTTAAGCTGAATGTTTTTTTGCTTATGCAATTGGGGAACAGTACTAGTACGACGTGAATAGTTTCGAAAAGAAATGCTGTGATATTTTTGAGTGAAAACGTCCAAAGGATAATAATAAAAAAATAGTATTATTTATAAGGTGTTGTACCTTTTTACAGGATATTACTGGCATTCAAATGAAAGTAGCATCGTAATAGATGATTGAGTAAACATCTTGTAACTGTTGTAACATGATCATTAAATTAGATTTACTGACCTGAAAAAAATCCATGTATTGTCGATACAACAAAAGGGTAAAAAGAGTCGTAGTTAACAAGATTATTTGACCTGGATAAATCCACCTTGCACCAAAAATATTGAGCAGTACAACAGAACAAGCCAACATCCAACACCAGACGCCTCCGGAAAAATAGAAATATAAACAAAGACAAACAACAACGAACAACAACGAATAACACATGGTCCAGATAGCTCGACTTGGAACAGACACACCAATTTGTGGGGTAAAACTAGTTTAAAGTGAATACAAACCCCATAATTTAGCCTATCTAAACAATATAGTGAAAACTAAAACACACAATTAAAAAATCTTGCACGATGCAGCTCCCAACAAGATGACCACTCTTTTGAGCAAGGAAATAAAATACAGCATATGCATATGAATGGAAACAGAGTAAAAAAAGTGCTCGCTTCTACAAGAAATAAAGACAAGAAGTTACAGCTATCAGTTGTATACTATCCCTTTAAAAGAATTAAACGACACTCCTTAAACGTTTTATCAAGTTTCTACATAAATTAATTTGAATTGAAGCCGGCCGTATTTTTCGTCAGACCACTGCAAATCAACTTAGCCTCAATATGACAACAGAGTCATTGATAAACAAAATAAGTTGACCTGAAAAGATTCACGTATTGTTGATACGACAACAGAGTCGTTGTTTAAATAACCAAGATGTAATTAATGTGACAACAACCTGCAGGATGTCAACTTTAGAAGAATTATCTGATGTTCTTCTTTGTGTGAAAGACTTCATACTTTTGAAATAAAGACATTATTCCCTGATAATATTTCTGTTGTTGCTTTTATTTAAAATGTGTGTATTTATAATATACAATGTTATTTTTTTATGCACATTTATTTTAAATCATTAGGTACGTGTATTCATTGTATCCTTTTTTTGCGGATGAAAATTTAAATTAATATGAAGTTGTTGTATTATACAGTCTGGTTACTTATTCTAATCAAAATCATAATGAATGTTGTATATGGTAATCCTATATAATTACCTAGCTAACTGATAGTACTGGTAATGTTTTACGCTATAATAAACAAATTGGGTTTAATTTGCTTACATTAATCTTCCCTCAAAATTAGCTATAGCCGCTGTTGTTATTAACATAAAAATAATTTCATTGACAACTTTTATTACAAAGCCAGTTAAGCATGTAATCCTAATGAACATTTAATACGGATCAGGATACCCGGTAATTATATTTTGCATAAAATATCAATAGAAATCACGTAGGAATTATGCATTTTGCGTCCTTAATGAATTCGTTTCCCTCAACATTTGTAGGTAACAGTTAAACGTTTTTTACTGTAGTGTGCATCAAAAATCTTACTTTTTGATGTATGACGTTTGCTTAAACGAATTTATATAGTTTTGTTTCAATAAATGGAAATCTTAGAGGTAATTCATTTATCAAAGACAATTCGTAGTACTGAGTTTTGTGAAATATCTAAGCGTATTCTATTCCTTTGTTCTATTATTTGCACGTTATTTAGTTTGCTTTATCTCAGAAAGTATAAAGGAAACATGTATCACTTTTTCGATATTCATATGAAGATTGGTATGCTTTAGTTTGTAAGATGTCATTAAAATACATTGAATTACCCATTGACGTTACTGTTTATAGCTAACGTCATCAGAGAGTGTATGCCTCGTTAAATTTAAACGGAAATATCCATTCACGTGCCAGTTAAGTTATCGGGTCCGACAGTAAAAAGGATGCATTGTTAATAAGCTCCATGTTATCTTAAAACGAATGAAAATTGGATTATTTTAAGAAATAAAGAACTTATAGGTAAATGTTAATACTTTCGCATTGAACATGAAATACAAAAACTCAAAAGTTATAAGTCATCGACAAACGCAGATGAATTGAAAACCAATCAACGACCTTAGTTAAAAACTAAAGTAAAGATAGACCACAGAATCAAATCAGTGAACATGGAAAACAACGAATGTCAAATCAGTCGACGACCATAGGAACAACAATTAGAAAATATCCGTCGTCATCTGTGAAATAGATATTCCATAACGGTTAACCAACTCGTGACGGCGTTCGTAACACTTTCGAAGAGATGATTTCAACTTCACCACTTGGAACTGTTGGTTGAATAGCTTACTTGTAAGCAATAACCCTCTATTAAGGAAATTATGATAGCATTTGCAAGCTCTGGAATATCGTATAAACTGAGAGCTATATACTCCATATGCAGATGCTGGTGGAATGTTGCTACATAGAAATGGAAAGTTCACAATTGGAAAGCTGAAATCATCTCTTTTGTCTTCACGTTTTTTCTCAGGCGACCCTCATAGTCAATTTGTAAATGTAAGTCAAGATATGAGGCAGACTTAATTGTATCTGTTGTATCCTTTATTTCAAGTTCGATGGGATAATTGCGTTTAACATAGTCCCCAAACATTTATTTAGTGAAAGATCTATCTATATAACGGGATGTGAAGTTAAAGAAGAATGCTAGCTCATTTGCATTCTTCTTGATAAGCCCCTGTTTGAAGTCAGTCTCGCATGATTAAAGGAACAAGTCGACAAGAAGAGGGGTAATGAATGTTTGTCAGTCCGATAATCTTTGAGATATCGAGAATTGACAGTAGTTTTTTTCATATTGTCTCTTAAGTGATTATTTTAATTTAGATATTAATATCATAATAGCATGCAAATGTTAACATTATTAATTATCAAATATCGAATGTATAAAAATATATACCCAAAGCAGATATCAAAATTTATCATGCGAAATTTCGTCCTCCGGAAAATGACGCACAAACCATTATAGGTTATTGAACGTCATAATGAGCTTTAGGTATTACTGAAGCTTCATTCCAGAAAATTAAGGAGGTTTTCAAATTGAAATGTTATGGGAACTATCACTTATAAATGGGACGAATAGTGTGTTCAAATGATGT